TCGCACCATTGATTTATATAGGGGCATTATGATATTGGCTGATCTGTTTTCAATACCCTTCCTAATAATCCCCAGCATAGCATTGGCCTTCTTTATTGCAGTCACACACTGTCTCGACATTTTCAGTGGAGTTGTAGTAGATAAAGAAGGCCAATGCTATGCTGGGGATTATTAGGAAGGGTATTGAAAACAGATCAGCCAATATCATAATGCCCCTATATAAATCAATGGTGCGACCCCATTTGGAATACTCATTTGGAACAGGTCCCCTGTTCGCTCTGGCAGTAGGATTTGGGGGGTGTTCCAGGGGTGGATGGGGATGCCCCTAAGCCCCGTCCCTAAGACACAGTGCCCATGGGGCTGATTTCCTAGTGGCGTTTCGCTGCTTGAGATTCAGGCTCATGCCGCCACCCCGCTCGCTGTGAATGCCGCACACCATGGCCCCCACACCGCTCACAAAAGGACCCTTTAAAGGGTTTTTTCCCCAAGCTGGGCTACAGCCAGCAACAGCCCCTCTCCTTCCTTGCTGAAAAATTTAAAGGGCTCTCCAGCTGATTGGTAGGCCATGTGCTCCCAAACAATTAGCTGAAGCCCTTTAAATCTCCGCAGGAGGGGAGGGAGAGGGATGGCCACTCTTGAGGGTGGGGCTTGGGGGGTGGGGCTTTCCCCACTGGCCAGCTGGCCATCAGCAGATTGAAGCCCACAGAAGCGGGGGAACCTCTGCCCAGACCTGGGGGCTGGCAACCCTATGTGAGCTGGTGTTTCAGTGGTAGTGATGAACCTCATCAGTCAGAGTCTGACAAAATGTTATGTGTGGCAATACAAGGTGGAAGAAGACTCTGCCGTGCAAGGTTTTATTTTGTTCTTATTGTCTATGTAGAGACAAACAAATCTGATTCAATATACACATAGATATGCTATAAAATTCTACTCTAGTTCCACATTTCTTTTTAGAATCTGGTGAGTTCTACCACAGGCATCAGTGACATCAGTAGTTTGTGCCACAAATGCATGCTGGCATTCTGTATTTTCATGGCATGGTAATATAATCACCGTTTCAGTACAGAGGCAGAACTGTGGCTTACTAGATCACTGAATCCATTAGATCCCAACAGGTTCATCTCTAGGACTAGCTTCTGGAATTCAAAATAGATTCCAAAGGGGTGGAATTTTGGTGGCTAGAAAAAAAATGACAGTCCACCTGAGCTTTCCTAGACAGGAATCTGGCTCTATCCATCTCTAACAATATACCTTTGGGCAGCCAGCACACTCCATAGGGAACTCTCATTGCGGATGTGATAAGGAAACATCACTTATTCCATTGTACAGGCTCAGAGCCCCCCCCCCAAAATCAGTTTGCACTCCTAGATGAAATCTGACCTGCTAACAATCTCCTTCTGATGGCAGCTAATTAAATTACTGCTCTCCATGGATTTCATCATCTTCAAGTGTTTGACAAAAGCTTTTGCACTCAGGTACTTTTCCTCCAACTGCCCTCCTACCAGATATTGCAAATATACACATGTTCAATTTCCAACTCAGCAATGCCTCTTCAGTCAAGCACTGGAACAATTTGTTTTAAGGTCACAAACTGGAGAGAGCATAACTGTACAGTAGTGATACCACAATTGCTTTCCTGGTTTTATTTACGTTCAGAAGAATTGTATTAGAATAGCATATGAAAATAATCAACATTCTTACAAATTTTAGGTTGCCCAGACTCACTGTTTCCAATTCTTTGTGTGCTTCAAGGGCAGTGATTTCCCGTTCCGATTTTTCTTCTACTTTCTTCAGAATATTCTGCACAAGAAGCAGGAAGGGGTTGTGTTGACTTTTACACCTACTTGGTACTATAAATGTTTTTGAGCAATTACAGTCTGTTTTAAAAGCTAATAATAAGTTTCAGCATTTTAAAGAGGGTTGGTGGTCAAACATCTGAAATTTCTACTGCCAATTACAATCCAGGATGTTATAGAAATAATGTCTTCAATTCAGTTACTAAGTATCTTTATGAAGTTAACATTGTTGCCCATTCCCCTGTGTAGGGCTGCCAGGTCATAGCTGGGAAATATCTGGAGATTTGGGGGGGTGGAACCTGGGGAGGGTGGGGGTTTGAAGAAGGGAAGGACCTCATCAGGGTAGAATGCCATAGAGTCCACCTTCCAAAATAGCTATTTTCTCTAGGGGAACTGTTCTCTATTGTCTGGAGGCCAGCTGTAATTCTGGGAGACCTCCAGCACCTACATTGAAGGTTGGCAACTCTACCACTTTAAGCTATTGTCTCCAGTGAATTGTTCTCCCTCAAAGGGACCTTTCCCTCCATTTCCCTCTGAGTCAGTACACGAAAAGGCACTGGGGGAGTACACAACAGCGCCTGGTCCTTCTGTGCCAAGGGCTGGGCCCTCACATAATTTTTAAATTGTCCATGTTAGGCTTTAAAATGGCACTGGCACCCCTGGGTCAGACCAGGGACACTGTCATGTCTAGTTTGGCCTTAAGCTAACTCACTTGTAGGGCACTGTGGGGTGAGCCATGAGTGATTGCCAGAGAAAGATGCTATACCTGTACCAGCAGCTTCAGTCTAGTGATCCTTTGAAAAGGCAAAATCAAGAAGGATGAGAAAGGCAGGCCTTTACATTTGGGATCCATTTCCAACTGCGAGATTACCTCCCGGAAAGCTGGCTTGTCCTGGCTGACAACAGAAGGAGAGGAAGAATGGTTTTGTTTGTTGTTGAAGGATTTCACGGCCGGAGTTCATTAGTTGTTGTAGATTTTTCCAAGACCACAGCCATACAGCCCAGAAATTCTACAACAACTAATGGTTTTGTTTGTTTGCTTGTTTTATTTCCTTGTGTTTTAAACCTGTGCATGCTGCATTTGGTTCTCCATACCATGATACTATGTGCCTCAGACATAGCATTTGGCATTGTTCTCAATTTGAGGATTGTGGAAAAAAATATTTATTAACACTAAGTGAATTTTAAAGTTGGGGTCTATTTATAGTATTAGGGAATGAAAAATAGGCTTTTAATATGTAAGTCAGAGTAACGGTTTCACATGTGTAGCACATACAGACTTAGCAGCATATGCTGTGTGTGTGGGTGTGCGTGAATGGAATGTGTGTCCAAGTAGATGAGTCAGAAAGGCATAATTATACATCTTTACACAGTTAGATTATTGTGGTGAGGTGAAATACGTATAGTCATAAGAACAAGGCCTTCCATAAAATGATTTAACTAAGCTAGGCCTAGCTGGAAATGACAGGATGAAAAACTCGTCAGGCATAGGAGGGAAGCAGAGATCTGTCAGTGCTATTGGTAGTGTGAATTCACTGCTATAAAAAGCAGCTCCCCCCCCCCCGTGCTTCAACAAAATTTGCAGTATTGGGATCCTAGCTGAAAACAAGAGCACCAATATGGGGAGCTTCCATCCTGAATGTACAATATAGGGGTGAGAAAAAACAATGTTTTCAAATTATCACAGCTCATAGGATGATCCCTAGGGCACCCAACTCTGGGCTGGGAAACTCCTGATATTTGGATATAAAGCTTGGTGAAGGTGGAGTGTCAGGTTTGGGGAAGGGTCCACTCTCCACAGAGTCCACTCTCCAAAACAGCCATTTACTCCAGGGGCAATTGATAGTCGGAATGGATGTGAACTCTTTTAGGGAGACAAGCAGGATATAAATATAATATAACTGCAGTATTCATGAGACTGTGTTTGATCTTATATACTATACTTATATACTAACTACTGCTCAGACAGACTTTCTACCCAGTATATCCAGATGGATTCCTGACAAACAATGCTAACTTTCTAGGTCAGAAATGATCAGCTCTTTTTTCTTTCAAGACAATAACAATAGTCAGTAAAAATGTAACCACACGACCAGAAGTAATTTCAGTACTTTGAGTCTGGCCTGGGCTCCATTTAATGGACTAGATACTCTACTATTCTGCAATTGAAGATGTATTTTAAGTACAATGTTCTTTGGCCTGCAGATTTAATCAACGTATGGAGTATTAACTCCTTTCCTCATTCTCTCCACTACACCGCCAGATACAGTAATAACTTATCTGATAGCCTGGCTTAAGTGCAACATAGTGGGGCCATTACTGCCACCAACAGCAGCCAGGAAGCTTTCCAGCTTAGTTCAGGTTCCTGACAGGCAATACCGCCATTTCTCGTTCAAAACCTTGCTAGCTTTTCAGTGCAATCCTAAACCAAGTTTAGGGTTGCTAACTCCTGGAGATTTTGAGGGTGGAGCCTGGGGTGGGGGGTCGGGTTTGGGGTAGGAGGGACTTCAGCAGGGTATAATGTCATAGAGACACTAACTTCCAAAGCAGCCATTTTCTCTAGGGTAAATGATCTCTGTCACCTGGAGACAAGTTGTAATTTTGGGAGATCTCCAGCTAACACCTGGAGGTTGGCTACCCTATCCTAATTATACCCTTGAAGTCAATAGGCTTAAAAGGGTACAGTGCTGTTTATGATTTCAAAAACCACTGAACAATGGGCGGGGGATGCTATAGGCACTGAATTTGTTTAAATATTAAGTTCTCCTTCCCTGGAAATACTGTAACTCTAAAAAAATAACACTAGAAACAACAAGTTAATAGTTTTTCCACTCTACCAGAATGGTCCAAAAGTAATGGCTTATTTAATAGGGGTGTGCGTATAATTCTCCCCCCCCCCTCTTGCATTGAGTTCACTGTAGTTTTAAATAACCTTTATTTGGTTTTTTTCTCAACAGGTAACACATTTTCTTCTTACCTTTTTTTCTTCTAACCAACTGTATTTGTATTCTTTTGGGCTGTGCCCCTCTTATCTAAAGTAAACTCCTTGTCACATTTCAGACAGATAGAAGAGTTCTCCATTTTATGGCAACTGAGATTTTTGCTTGCAGAGCAATTATCAGGTCTGCATGGCAATGTTGTTGTATGAGTTTTTTCCTCCCTTTCCAGGGTCCTCCAATCAAAAATGGTGTGTTGAGGGAGAGTAAAGTTAGCACATATCCAGGCTTGCCTTGGTAGACTGTTGATTTCAGCAGTTGTCTCCCAGCCTGGCTGAATTCTAGTATTGGAGCCAGGCTGGGAGAAAAATGCTTCAAGCACCAAAATAAAGTGCAAGAGGAAGGAGGTTCTGGCAGCCTGCACAAATAGGTTACCTGCTTTTTTCCATAGTGGAAATAACACTAGCTGCAGGGAACAGGGGAGAAACAATTTGTACTAGGGAAAGCCTGTGGTTGCTTTTAAGTGCATTAAAGATCTTGAGAGATCTCAGATACATGATCCTCTTTGATATATGATGTGGAGACAAATCCCAGTTTTCCTTATCAAAGATTTTTTGTGTTTATCTGGCCCTTCCTTTCTTTGAGAGTGGAGGGATTTTCCCTATTTCCCACCTGCAGCTGGCCTGTATGCCTTTCAGATAGTGAAAGAAAAATGTTTGCCTCTTTATGCCCTACCTATTGCATCATAGGGAAGAAATGTAGCATAGCTAGCCTTTGCTTCTATTCCCTCCCCCTTACATAACTGACCTCTTTTACAACAGTAGAAGGAAAACGGTTGTCCATGTCACCTGCAAAAACAGTTTCATGGGAAGGGTGTGTGTAAGGGTGTATGTAGGTTTCCCCATATCTGCAGCCAAGCAAAATATTTGCCCTGGCAGGCAGGTTGAGGTACAACACCAGAATAAATCAGAGAAGTAGAAGAAAACAGCACCCACTGCTATAAATAATCAAGTAATCCTTCTCCAGGTGGCTGAGGATAGCAGCACAACCATTGAAGTAAATTAGAACACTGTGTGCACAAGAGATTCTCAGGCAGGAACATCTTCTGTCTCTTCCAGCTGCAGGATGCCCCTCCCAGATTATCCAATGGTGGTTCACGCTTCCCTTCCTACCCCCCCCCCCCCCCCCCACCTTCTGCTTTCCTGTCTTTGCTTCATGCAGTTCTGAGAAAGCAGACACTCAGGTGCCAGAGTAATGACCACTTTTGAGATTGCCAGAGTATCATAAATTTTCCTAATGAGATACGGAAATCTAAAAAACCAGGGGATTCAGCTATGATTCTAGTTCATTTCTGAGTGCACATCCCTATTTTCTTGAAGGAAAAACAAAGTGCCCAAAATAAATTTATAACCAAACGGAAATGCTTGAAACTTTCAAAGATCTGTGTTTAGGAAAGCAGCCATTGTTTTCCAGTTTTCATGATCTTTTGCCTTATGAGTTTGGAATAGAGAATTACTTCCTCACCAAATCAAAAATAAGCCAGCCTGGTGACTTGGAAGAAGGGCACCGTACAAATGCTGAAAATTTTTTATATATAATATTACATTTGTAGAAAACCTTAACACCAGATTTTCTGAGCCAGTTCAACTGTTTTTGATGGTAGACAATAATGTGGAAAATGTGACTCTCAAGGCTTAAATGTATCCATTCCTGTCATAGATCAAAATCATGCAGCACTATTGCCTTGACTGTAACAAACGTATGTCTACTGATTATGTAGGATTCAAATGAGTGAGAGAAAAAAGGAATTGTGCAAAAAACTAACAGTACAAGTCTAAGAACTACACCTTTCTAAATCCATTGGCTTCAATGGACTTAGAACTGTGCAATTCTGCTTAAGGCTGTTACTAAATTGCTGGTACAAGCTTATGCTCAATGGAGGCTACTCCCAGGTATACTTGCACAAAGCTACAGCATTTATCGTATCTGTTCCCACTTACAGTGCAAGAGGAACAACAACAAGCTGGCAACTCAAGCAAAGAAAAATATTTCCTATGGTGCAGGAAGAATTTAAGCAGATGCATTGTTCAGATTGCACATGTCACATGTACACTGAAGTGCATCCTAAACAGCACTGTCCAGTTAAAAGCTGGACCTGAACTACAACTATGAATAATTTCAAGACACCATACTTTTTGTCATTCATGGATTCAGTCATAGTTATCCACACAACTATGCATAATGCTTGAATGTAACTCCTTTACAGTACATTGGAAAAACTGCACAGAGTAGGCTAAGGGGCGGAAATGGGATTTGGGTAAACATTAACGTATACTACATTTTAGTGAGAGTAAGTTATCTTTGACCCCGGTCACATGGGAGGCTTTGATCCACGAGAGGGACGGATTGGGGGCGCATCAAGCGGGCGCGATCACACTGCAACATCTGGGAAGCAGCGCGCACCCATCCCCGATCCGTCTCTTCCGGCCGAAGATGCGGATCAAAAAAAACCCTATAAAACACTACTACTTACCTGAAAATCCGCAGCAGGAGCAGCCGTGTGATTGCCAGTGCGCCCGTCTTCGGCAGCATGCGAGGTCCCCGGCACACATGCGCAGCGGGCTCACCTCGCTCACCGATCTGTGGCTTCCCCCTGGCATCTGATCATGCTGGGGAGCAACTGCGTGGCGGCTCGGGGGATCTATCTGATCCCGCCACCGCGCTTCTCTTTTGATGCAACTCAAAAAAGCCGCACTTCAGCCGCACCTTTTCCCCCAGTGTGACCAGGGCCTCTGTGTGCTAAAACATTTTGTCCTTGTTTAGTATATGATTGTTACTAGATGCTCACTAGTTGATTGATTTTAGCAAGCAAATCATGCTTAGATCATTACTCACAGAAGTTGCTTGTAAGCTCTCTCCTGGTATGTTTGGTTGGAGACATAGGTTACATACACTGAGAAATGGTTAATAGTATGATGATAGACAATATCACAGATGTCCGATATCACAATGTTCTCTTCTACCCGCTTCTCAAGGTCCAAGAGGAAACTAAATGAGAAACCCAGAAAGCAATCACAGATAGCAAAACAGACAAAAACAATAGTGGTGTAATCAAGACCAACCAAAATCCTCACTAATTTGTGACATTTTCATGGGTTTTAATACCTGATGTTTTTAATATCCAAAATAAACAAACATAGGAAAAAAACAGAAAAGCAAAGTAAAGGTTAAAAGAAGGGTTTCTTCACTTTTAAACTTTTGCTTGATTTCTTTTAAGCAATAAACCGCAGATCTTGACACTTTCATTCTTGTTTGTGCTTACTGACAGTGATGTAATTCTTTAGTTGTATATTGTCATTGAAAATATGATGACTTTTATCAAAACAGAAACTTAACTGATGCTGAATAGTAAAAACTGAGGAAATATACTATCACATTATAATCCAAAACTGTGTAATGCTGAGACAATCCAGTTACCTCCACTGTATTATATGAATGAAAGAGGTCTTATTAATGAGGGTTTTCTACTGGTTTCACAAAATGATATGTACTACCCTCTGTGGGGGGGGACATGAAAAATTTAATGGGGATTACAAGTGTCTACTGAGGAAAATTCAGTAGTTCACTTTTTCAGATATGATCAATTAAAGATCAATCTGGGGCAATATCTTTTCTGAATTTAAATGTCATGCTTCCCTTTCCATGGAGATGGGACAAAAGCAGAAGGTATATGTGTCTTAGAAATATCTCATTTCTATGAAGAGAAAGCAGCATTTGAATCTGTAGAAGTGTGAAAAGGAATTTGCAAGCATGTAGATGTATATGAGTAACAGTGGTATGTGTGCTGAAACTACAACAGGAAATCTGGCAGATCCATGCAATGAAAACCAGGAAATCTGCCACTTGGCTCTTATATAACTTGGATCTGCACTGAACTGTAACTAATTTTGTAACTTAATCAAGGTACAGAATGTAAACTGAAAACATACATTAATAAAGATGTTTTCAAAATGTGTGTTTGCACAGTTCTTACTTTGGTACTTTGAAAAAGGGCAAGGTTCCCAACAAGATTTGTGATACAAAAAATGGGAACAGAATTTGGAAAAAAAATCAGGTTGTCATATTAAGGATAAGTTGCTCTATCACTCTGCTATTACACACACACACAAACACACTGTACTTCCACTGATTCCTTGTGGCACAAAAATTATTGCATACCCAGGGGAGATTATGTGCCAAAGGTGGTGAGTGAAATAGAAAATGCATTTGCAACTGATGCCTGGATCTGAGAACTCATCCTTGTGCCCTGTTGAGACAGCCCAAAGAGAAGCTATCTTCCCTCCTGATTGCCTTCAAGTCCCTCTCCCCCTTCCAGGGATTCAATCAAAAAGAGATATGGGACCCTCTGATTGTATAGATGGGCGGTCAGCCAAAAAGAATGTTAAGGTGGGTTTTTTTTATTTTTGCATTTGTATGTGTGTGAGCATGTGTGCGCGCACCCAGGCCTAGAAGTCATGGGGACCTCTGGTGACTCCTACTGGGGCATGGATGACATTCAGAAAAGTGGCTTGATAGCCTGCCTCTGCCGCCCACACCTGATATTCTTTGGAGGTCTCCCATCCAAATACTTGCCAGGGCCAGCCCCGCTTAGCTTCCGAGATCTGACAAGATCAGGCTTGCCTGGGCTATCCAGGTCAGGGCAGCAGTCCGCCAAACTCTTGGTTTGCTGCACTATCCCACCCCCAGTTTTCCATTGCCCACAGCATAACTATAGCTTGCATGGTGTTTTCCCATCTGGCTTGCATGTACTTTGCAATAGAGTTGTGTAATGTATTCAGCCTGACATGCCCGGACTTGCCCGGGCTGGCCAGGCACAACTCTTCAATAGCTTCATGTCCAAAGACAATGGGTCCGTAGGATCCTAGCCGGCCCAATCAAAGGGCCAGCTTCTCAGCCGGGAGACCAATGGTCGCCCGGTTACTGTAAATAGCCTATCGGGAGTAGGGGGTGTGTTTAGGGTACTTGGTGGCGGGTTTTCTGAACCTATATAACCAGCCTGCGAGCTGGTCCCTTCGTCTTTGTCCTGAACTAAATAAAGGTATGCTTAGCTGAAATCACTCTCCGTCTGCATACTTTTTACTGGCGACGAAGGTGGGATCCACGACCCCATGAACAAAGACCCGGACGCCAACGCGAGCACCGCACCGAGCCCCGACGCCGAGACCTCCGGGAACCGCTTCGCTTCGCTTCCCAGCTCTCCGGTAACCGCTCATCGCGCAGCTCCCGGCTCCGCTTCGCTCCCTGCTGACCCCGAGAGCAGCAGCGGCCTCCACAACGCTCCCGACGCCATCGCCGTTCCAGAGGCCACCCCACCACGTGGCTGCAACACAATGGCGACCGCGACCGCAACTGAAAGCCTGCCCGCTTTCGATCTCTCCCAGCCCTCGCTGTGGGACACCTGGCTGGACACGCTGGAGAGCCGCTTCACCATCCACAAGGTGGTGGATGACGCGATGAAGAAGGCTTACCTGCTGAGCCACTGCGGAATCCAGACCCATCGGCTCCTCAAGGACTTAATCTCGCCCAAACTAACGAAGGACGAGTCATACAGCTCCTTAGTCCAGGCCCTGACCGACCACCTGGCTCCCAAACCCACGAAGTACGTGGAGCGGTTGGACTTCTTCGCAAGAGTTCAGGCCTCCGGCGAAACCACCTCCGATTTTCTGGCGGCGCTGCGGAGCCTGGCGACCCGGTGCTCCTTCCCCAGCCTCGACGATACCCTCCTGAACCAGTTCCTCGTCGGACTCCGGGAGCCGAAGCTGCAGAGGAAACTGGTGAGCCAGAACGATCTGAGCCTGGACAAGGCCATCCGGGAGGCCTCAGCATACGAACAAGCGCGACAAGACCGCCGCGCCAAGGCGGTCCACCGTACCCAAGTGAGCAGCGGCTCCGACGTCTCGGACCAAGAGGAAGTCCTACAACTCCGACAGCGGACTCAGCAGCGATCAAAACACGTATCCTCCAGGACCTCCAAGGCCCCGTCTCCAAGTCAGTGCGCCAGCTGCGGGGAGGATCACGAACGCAGGTCGTGCCGTTTCCGGAATGCGGTCTGCCGTTCCTGCAACAAGGCAGGACACATCGCCAAGGTCTGCCGGTCCAAGGGACAACGACCGAGATCGGCCACCCACCAGACCACCGCGGAACTGCCCCTGGAGCTCCACACCGTGTCGTCCCACTTTCCACAGCACCAGGTCTGTAACCTGCCCCCCGACGGCCCAAATAAAATGCATGTGACGGTCCTCATAGAGGGAGCCCCCTGCACCATGGAGATCGACACCGGGTCGACCTACTCCATAATATCCGCGGACACGCTCCGTGCACTGTGTCCTCGGGGGGGGCCACCACTACAGAAGTCACGGGGTTTCCGGTTACGGGACTTTAACAAAAACCCCGTGGCGGTGGTGGGCTGGGGCAAGTTCCGGGTCCAGTTTCAGGGTTTCAAGGGCCAACTGGACCTACTGGTTGTGGACCGGCCCCTCTCCAGCTTGTTGGGACTGGCCTGGTTCAAGGCCCTGGGGCTCTCCGTTACGGGCATCAACCAGGTTGGAGCGCAGGATTTCGGGGCGGTGTGCGCAGAATTTCCCCGCATCTTCGATGGGACCCTGGGGCGGTACACGGGCCCTGCCATTTCCCTGGACCTAGACCCCGCGATACGCCCCATCCGCATCAGGGCCCGGCTGCCCCCGATCTCCATGAGGCCGAAGGTGGAGGCCGAGCTCGATCGCCTAGTTGAGCAAGGCGTGCTAGAACCGGTGGCGTCGGCCCGGTGGGAGACCCCCATTGTCACACCACTCAAGCCGAACGGGGACGTCCGCATCTGCGCGGACTATAAATGCACCATAAACAAAGCCCTGCAGCCCCACGCGTACCCGGTGCCGGTAGTAAGCCAAGTGCTGGCAGCCCTGGCAGGGGCTCGGGTGTTCGGCAAACTGGACTTGGCCCAGGCGTACCAGCAGCTACCGGTGGACGCCGCCACGGCCGAGGCACAGACCATTGCGACCCACAAAGGGGCCTTCAAGGTGCACCGCCTCCAGTTCGGGGTCTCAGTCGCGCCGGGGATCTTTCAATCTTTTATGGATTCCCTCCTTAAAGGCATCCCCGGAGTTCAGCCGTTTCTAGACGACGTGCTGATCGCCGCGCCAGACCCCTCGTCCTTCGCAGACCGTCTGAGGGCCGTTTTACAACGCTTCGACGCGGCGGGCCTCAAGGTGAAACGGGAGAAGTGCCTACTGGGGGTGCCGCGGGTGGAGTTTCTGGGCTTCGCGGTGGACGCCGCCGGCCTGCACCCCTCCCAGGACAAGGTAGAAGCCATCACACACGCCCCGGCCCCGAAGTCCAAAACGGAGCTACAGGCGTTCCTAGGCCTGGTGAACTTCTACCACTCCTTTTTGCCCCTGAAGGCGGCCGTCGCGGAGCCGCTCCACCGCCTCCTCGACAAGTCGGCGCAATGGGCCTGGGGGCCACCACACGACGCAGCTTTCCAAACAATAAAGGACCTCCTGGTCTCTAATGCGGTCCTCGCCCATTTTGACGAGGCCCTTCCCGTGGTACTGGCGTGCGACGCTTCCCCCTATGGGGTCGGGGCGGTCCTGGGGCACAGACTACCGGATGGTCGCGAGGTCCCGGTGGCCTACTACTCGCGGACACTGTCGTCGGCCGAGCGCAACTACGCGCAGATCGACAAGGAGGCGTTGGCAATCGTGGCAGGGGTGAAAAAATTTCACCACTACTTGTACGGCCCCTGCTGGGCCTCCTCGCACCCGACCGGCAGACACCGCAGATAACCTCGCCCAGGGTGCTACGCTGGTCCATCTTCCTGGCGGGGTATGCGTACGACCTCGTCCATCGGCCCGGAAAGGCGATGGGCCACGCCGACGCACTGAGCCGCCTGCCCCT